GAAGAAAACCTTCTGGCTCGTAAATCCAACGCCTAAAATGAGTGCATATGTGAGGGAATTTTGAAAAATTGCTTATTCTACCAACATTTCCACAAATTTACCATAACTAAACGCATAAAGAATAACTATCAGTGTGTATTACACTAGATAGAATAGACTCAGTCAAAATGATATAAGTGGAACAAACAGCAAACTGCTCAGATATTTCTTTGTTAAAATAATGAAGTTCTAAAGTTTCCAATGCATTGATAGCCCCAAGGGAAATTTCAGCAATTAGAGAAAAACAGTAATGCTCGCTCCGTCCCAGGGCAACGATGCAAACAGGCAACCAATTACTTGAAGTTTTGGCCTACTCTTAATATTAATTGGTGAGTTTGGTTGTTTCTTTTCTTCGAAACGAGAGATGAACAAAACCCACTTTGCCAAAACATCGTGCTCTCCAACCATTTCCCAAAGCCGTAATTTCTCATCATCCTGGAGATCCACACCGTACCTCTTGAACAGATCGAAAAGACGCAATGCCAACGGGGCCATTTTACGCAATTCTAAAAGGAACTATTATGTAACTAATTGTAGAAATTCTAACAAATAAATTGCAATAAGGATTCAACATAACATATTCAAGTACACATGAAGAAAAATTAAAACTCTGCATCATCCAGTTGATCAAAAAAAGTACTTCGAATTAAGGTCAATGCTATCCAAATGCCAATCCAAACTCAGATGAGCGATTAATTTACCGCATAAGCGCAACCAATCGGTTTGCATCTGCCGGGTCGCCTCAACATTCTCGACAAGTTTCGTATGCTTGAGGCATAGTTCAGCATATTGTCTTATGAACTCTTCATCCACCTGTAACTGCATGATTACCAAAAATTGAACAAACACCCTCATATCCGAATTACCATTTTTGCTTTCAAGGCATTCATATATCTCATCGCCATCACACAATCAAGTGGATCGATCTCAGCCTGTGAAAGCTAGCATAGCGAGTAGTTGACAACTGATCAAAGTAAAGCGCTGTGCTGACCTTGTGCTCTTCCAGATATACAGCAGCCTCTTCTTCATGACGTTTTGCCACCAATACAGCAGCGTAGAGACAGTGCACTCGCGACTGTGGTAGGAAGTTTTGCGCTTTATGCAGTACTGAAGGGATATGCGGAATTGGAAAACAACTAGATCGTTGAAAAAACTATAGTACGCTAAAGTTGTCGATTTTATTTGCACTTCTTGTTGGTTCATAAGAAAACTCCCGATAGTGTGAGACATTGTAGACGAATTTAATAGTACAGGGTAGGAACACACCGTACTGAATATTACGCTGTGAAGTTTCCGTCTTTTGGGAAAGGCAGTGGCGTAGTAAAGTGACAATTCCATTGGAGCAATACAGACCAGATTGGAACTTCATCCAAGTATTTACGGCTTCTTCCCAGCCAAGCCTGAGCACCAATTA